GAAAATATTTTTGGGTTTCAAAAACACGTGAAGTAAATCCTGCAAGAAGCACTTTAAGTGCTTTTCCAGGATTAATATGCATTTTTGCTAAGGACTATTTAAAATATATTTTTACCAAAAGCGCTTTCAACCATTGTAAAAGCACTTCAAACACAAGCCACCTACAAATATCTATATCATGAAAAGACTACAAAATTTTCCAAGAAATATATTTAAGATAAAAATAAAATACAGCTAATTCTGAAAGAGGTAGATTACAAGCAAACAAAAAAAAATATATATATATATATACATACATACATATATATATATATACATGGATAACTATAAGTAACCTATAATATACGTGTATAGAATATATAAATAAATAAACTGTGATATAGGGATTGAAGGAATTTAATTCCAAGCATTAATATTATGATTCAGGATATTATACTCTTTTAAAGTTTTCATTTTTATCACAAACTTAACAAATGTCATAGTCCACTTTTATACCTAATAAATAGCTCACAAAATAAAATTCGATTGATTTTTTCCGAATGTGAGAGAATCGGTCCATTGGTGTCAACCAGCCATCTCACGCACGCAAAATGGGATCTCACAGTCTGACCTCCAGATCTTGCACTTAAAGGATCCCATTTAAGAAAAAAAAAAAAATCACATATATATATATATACACACACGCATATATAATGACTACAGAGCATGATAGATCCTTAAAGCCCGTCCTAAGAATACACAGAAACTGAAAGTAGGCAAAGGGACAAGGTCGGAGGCTCGGAGCTGCTGGGTATTCTTTGTACATTGTTGTGTTGTGATGATTAAAGAGGCACACATGTGAATAGGAAGGTACCTGCTTATTTGTTTGTGTGCAATTTGTGTGCAATCTGAAGCAATATATTTGAAATATCTAAATCGTTTTCTTTCCCAGCTACAAACTATGCAATTGCTTTTACTTATTAATTAACTAGCTATATATATATATATATATATATGATCATCATCAAACTTGGGATTTTCATATCTTAGTAATAGGTTTTCATGCTTTAGTTCCTTGATTAATGCTCAGTCTGAAGCAAAGTAGTACTACATTCAACAAACTGTTAGTATTGATTTGCATGTTATAGAAGGCATGTAGAACATTTATGTCGTCGAAATTGTTAACTGTAGTGCAGCTTGATTCTTGAATGATTGAATCTTGAAAAAAAAACACAACACAAGGCACGTGCAAAAGAGAGTTTCAGACAGTGATTATTTTATACTTAAGGTGATTAAGGGGAAATATTTTTGAACTTTTTTCAGTCAGACCTTCTGGTTCTATTTTTTCGGTTCTTCTTTTCATCTTGCAATGTTGTTCTAGGATTAGAACCGTCTACTTTCTAGTTCACAATTCAAAAGATTGAATTTGCAAAAAACAACCAAATCGCAAATCGTTTAACTGTTTGATTAACAGTGTTAAAATTTTAGTGCTTAAGTTAATAACAAGGTTCGTCTATTTATTGGATAACTGTTAGGTGATTAAGAGATTTTGAATTTGGTTAGTTTTTGATAGAATTGATCTTTAGAAGGTGACATAGAAATTAAACGGTTTGAATATAAGGAGAGTCTAAAAAAAGAAATTATTCAAATGAGAGAGTTACTAATATTTTTCGTTAGGGTAATGCTAAGTGGACAAAATTTGTAGACAAAATTTGCAAATTAAATGATATGTCACCAATAGGAATTAACACATTTATCAACGCTTAAGTAATAATTCAATCATCAACTTTCATATCATTTAGTTTACAAAATTTAGTTTATAAATTTAATCCCCTAGCCTTAGCATTATTCTTTTCGTTTAGTAATAGAGCGGAAGAGAATCTACACGTGATCAGAGAAGAGATGAGGAGGGAGGACGAGAGTGAGGCATCGAAAGGTGTGAAGGATGCGTCAAAGGTTGTTTAGCTGTCAATCCTTCCAAAACTCTTCCCTCACGGGACTGACTCGCTTCACTTCTCTCTCCCGCACGTACGTACTAACTCTCTCTCGATCGCCGTCGTCCCCTTGTCCTTAGCTCTCAATTGCCCCATTGCTGCTGCCACATGGATTAGTAGTTCATTCAGATAATTTATGGTATATCTATCCCCAATAGTCCACAGTTTACAAATTTCTGGGGGGAAAACCTAGCTATAAACCCTATGTACACACACACACACACACACACACAAACACACCAAATGTCACAGGATTCTATTGGATGGCAAATATGACCTTGAGTTTCTTTCTTAACTAAAATATTTTTGTTCTCCTCATGCACATGTTATGACATAACGGTACATCAAGCTTGTCTGCTCAACTCCTTCATGCCCTTTGGACAGGAAATTTCATATCAAATCAACTTTTCTCCTCGTTCAATTACTTGGCTCTCTTTTTTTAACCTTGCCATTAAATCAACCTCCAATGGTTAGAAAACTAACACACCATAATATTATGTATTTTATTTTAAAGAAGGTTCAAGTGGAAACTACTTATTATATCTTTAATGGTCAAAGTTGGTTCCCAAATCAACTTCTTCTTCCTTGATCGTCACGTTGGCCTCTTTATGTTCTTGTTATGTATTATTTTGATTTTTAGGTTGCCTCTCCCAACAAGGATCATTTTCCCTTTTTTGAAATTCCGATGGCTAAGATGTTAGTCACTGGATTCGAATTTCATGTTCAGTTTTTGCTTCTTAAATGTCAGCAAATTAATGGGTTTCATGCAAGGACGGAGCCAATGAAGGCTCACTGAAGGCATATGCCCCCACTCAAGTGATTCGTTTGTTAAGTCATAGACTACAATTATATAATACACACGTGTTATTTTTTAAGAAAATATATGTACCTAGTATCCAACATACTTTCATACTGCGTATACTCTATATCAAATATTATATGAGCAAAAGTGCTTTTGTTCTGTCGTTCAAACAGAAAAACCTCACTCCTGCGTAATTATGTACTAATATTTTTCTTATCACTTTGCCACTTTCCACTACTACACTGAAATTTTTGTAACATTGGAATTGTGATACATTATCATTTGAAATCAACCCTATTTTCATATTGGTTATAAGCCATACTATAATAAGATTTTTTTAATTGATTTTCAGGTTGCCCTCACTAAAATTTTTTTTTAACTCCATCCCTGGTTTCATGTAAAAGATTTACACAACAAATGCGTGAGTGTGATAATATTAATATAGAATGGCCAAATACCACGAGAATGTGAATTAACCACTGCCATTAGAAACGAATATTTAAATACTACTTATTAACAAAAATGTGAACAAGTTGTTTTTGATGAAGTTCTTGGTTTAGATTTCTGAATTAAGAAATGCATCTAAAAATTCAATTTGCTCAATCTTTTTTTTCCCCTACTTTTCTTGATTGGATTATGGCATTTAGGTCGAGCTTTAACCATCAAAATAATAAAGAGCGAAAACAAAAAGAGCCAATGTGACTACGAAGAAATTGATGTTTTTCTTTTGTTATTCTAATTTATGAGTATCCAACCACCTATTGATGGCATATTGATCTATTCTCGTATGAAGCCTCATTATAAATGAAGTAGTAGTGTACTGTTAGTCACTAAGTAAAACAATACACATTAAGGCAGTGTCGGTGGCCAAAAAAATTTATCCATTGAAGTTCAAATTCGGGTTTGGAGTTCCAAACCTTTACTAGCTTTCCACTAGACTAAACACTAGAAGAAATTGATTTGGGAGAGAACTTATGAGCATTAAACAAAATAATTAGTTTCTCCATTAAGCTTTTATAAAATAAAAAAGTACGACGGTATTAGTTTTCTAACCATTAGATGTTAATTAAATAAGGTGGCATGTGGAGATGAAAATTCAAGGAGATCCTAGCAGAGAAAAAAAAATTCAAATAGTATTGAGTGTTCCACATCATTAATTAGATGTTTAGTTAAATAATTGTACAAGTCAACAATATAGTTAGTAGGTTTGTTAGTATTTGGTTAGAGTTGTTAGATTTTCTATTATAAAAACAGAGTTGTGTAATCATTCTTGACAATGAATATAAGTCTCATATCTCTTTCTAAACTGCCTCTCTAATTCTTCATCTTGTTCTCTGTTATTCTTTCTTCTTTATTTTCTCTTTAATTCTCAAATATTTCCAAGTAGTTAAGAAAAGAGGATTCAAATCCCTATTAACATTATTACGAGCTAAACTTATATTACTGCAGTATGTACTGTAAGCCATTTGGTGTAGTGGCCATTTAATTAGCTATAGTATCCACCTTTAGTTGGAGGTAGTCTTTAAATCTCATAGAAGAAAGTTATTCGATAATAAAAAAATTAAAAAGATATACGTGTATGTAATACATATAAATTTTATTACAAATGAATTTATGATAACTTTGTTTCAAAATGCTAATTACAGCTCATATTTACGACTCTTATTTTCCTTTTAGGACCTAAACAAAATACTCTAGAAATCTCAGCCAACATATATATCTTTATAGGGTATTTACACACCTTTGTTAGTTTTTGTCTATTAATTTCTTCAACGTTAGTTTTTGTCTATTAATTTTCTTCAATTCATTCGATTCGACGATAAAAAATTACAAAAATATTTGAGAAGTAAAAATGAATGTATGAATAACATGACCTATCCTTGATTATTTATTCTCTTCCTACTCCAATGTCTATCACATGATTTTGTCTACAATATACCTCCCGTCGCACATTGCGCATTCCACATAACGCATGCATGATTTGTAACTATTTGACACTTTTCCCTAAAATAACTGTACATGCGCTGCCAAGCAAAAACACCCGGTTTTTGCTTGTCAAACAAAAATAGATTCCCCTATTAACACAGTTTAATACTTTAATATAATGAGTTTAATTTAAATCTCAACTTTATGTAAAAAATAATTGAATTGTTAATTAGAAAGGTCAATTACGTCAATATACTGGAGAAAAACATAGGGAATATTGAGGCCGCACTATGTGCAACATCCCTGTCCTCTTTAAAAGCTCTCAAATCCATCATAAGATCAAGAAAGACTGAAGGGGTGAAGAAGCATGAGTTCTAAGGAACGAAAGAAAGCAGCTCTGTATGAGAAATTGCTGCAACTTCGTGCTGCCACTAATTCCAGTGCTGTAATTAACTTAAAATAAGCAATGGCTTACTTTAGCCAGAATTAGTTACTATATATGTACATCCAAATTTTATTAGCGATTCCAATATCTTTCATCCAAATTTCATAATTTGTTGCTGCTTTGTGTGATTTGGCAGATGAACAAAACTTCAATTATTGTTGATGCATCCAAGTATATCGAGGAGTTGAAGCGCAAAGTGGACGCAATGAGCCAAGGCGTTGGAACTTCCCAGAATTCAATTACCCAAAATTCATTACCCGCGGTGCATATTGCTTAAATAAACTGCTGAAGATTGTTTTATTTTCTTTGGGACACCTTAGCATATAATAGTTCTTCATTTGATTAACTGTCCTTGTTGTTATAATTTCCAGCAGGTTACAGTTGAAACCCTAGAAAAGGGTTTCCAAATTCATGTGTTGTCGGAAAAGAATTGCCCGGGTTTGCTGGTCTCCATTCTCGAAGCCTTTGAGGAGCTCGGCCTCGATGTGCTGGATGCTAGGGTTTCTTGTTCAGACACTTTCCAACTAGAAGCTGTTGGAGAAGTAAGAAATTATATTATCATATTTAATTTCTCAAAAATTCTACACTTTATTAATGTATGAGATGCATCAGTGTAGCGGACGACAAAATTTGCATGGCGGAATTTCAACTGTCATAATCTATCTATCGAAGCAGTGGTGCATCCTACACCGATGTACTGTAAAAAAAACCCTTAATTTCGTTCACTCTGGCCCCTTTGTACTGAACCCATCAGGAATATATTTTTTTCTGAATGTGTATATTATGGCAGCATACATATATGTATATATGGGTCATGTACTCTATAATTTGTACGTATATTAATGTTGTACAAATTAACATCACGAGTAAATTGTACAAACATGGTCTTAACCACACCTTTTGTACTCCTTATTGCGACTACACTAGCTCTGACACAATTATTGTGGCATGACATGGCTTTATAATTTAGTATCTTAATATCTTCGATCAAATTTTGTATTTACGTGGTTTAAAATTCAATCATTGAGTTAGAACTCACTTTTTTAACTTTGTCGAAACGAAGGCACTCGAGGTATATATGTTGCTTGAGATCATCTTAGAATTTATACAAGTTCTTTTTGCTTATACATTGCATTTCCATTGAGCTGAACAGGCGGCGGATAGCATAGATGCTCAGGCGGTGAAAGAAGCAGTCTTGCAAGCTATTCAAACTTGGAGCACAAGCAGTGAGCAAGATTAATGACCTATATATCATACGTATTGTACCTTTTGCTGTCCTTTCTACCCCTTTGTTTCTCTGTCCTATCCCCTAGCTATATTCCCCTCTTCCACTGGGGCCAATGAACTGTTCATTTAATCATATAGTTACAAATAATAGCTTAATTATATTATTAGATGATTGCGGATAATCAATGCACTCAAGTAGGCCTTTGTAAAAATAAAATATCATGTGCGAAACTTACATCATTAACCATGTACTACAAAAAAACCAACTAGTACATCTTAGTTTTGACTTACATGATAGCAATAACATTTTACATATGTGTTTAGTTTGATACCTAGGTAATGGCTAACCCGTGTGGCCCAGTCCAATCTACCCTACCCGTAGAGTATAATATCCCTCACCCTTGGAGTAAAATATTGTTTGTATTAGAAAAAATATCATGCACTACAAAAAGAAAAAAAATCAAAAAGGTTCAAATTCAAGCTGAAGCATACAGATTCCGGATAGAATTTTTCTAGGTACATGTATGATAGTAGAAAGATCCAACAATAAGGATGATTCTAACTGCCAAAATTTTCCCACGTGTATGGCAAGTGGGTAATGGATCACTTGTTGGTAGCTCATGTTGCATCCAATGAGTGGAAAGAATAATTTAATTAAAGATAGACAATTTGGTACATTACACATATAATATACACACACATATATATTCAAAGATCAACCGTCTATGTTTAAGGTCATTCCTCGAATATTATCACTATAAAAATTGCTAAAATTCGTATTTATATGACTGTTAGATTAAATGGTAACCATTTTTAATTAGTGTTTCTTTAAAGAACTATATTCATTTATTTTCTTCGCTATAATTAGTGTTAGATTTTGGATTTGTATAATTTTTTTCAAAGAGAGTCTACAAATGATAAATTAAATATAAAGATTCGGATCATAAAAAAAAGTTACGGAATGAACACCAAAAGGTATTCCTCAATGGAAGGGGACTATATATATGTGTGTGTATTTATATTCAATTACAACCGGATGTTTTATTTTCATATCTTTCATAAGGCATGTTTGTCCTTCTCATTCGGCTTAGGGTTTGATGTTGCGGCTTAATGTACGAGACAAGTGATATTAATCACTGAACACTAAATAGTGAATTAGTGATATGAACCATATGATAAATTTGTATGGATCGATGCAGCAATGTCATGCAGGAGAGAATAATATATATGTTTAGAAACTTGGAAGATGTATATACTATAATCAATTAACAATATGGGAAAAATAATAAAATGTTAGGGGGGTAATGATTGGAAATTTGGATTGTGCGGGAACATCTCGAAGGGAATATGAGAGTTATTAGATTCTGTAAATTTGTTTACTAATTTACCTTGGATGTAGTCTATATATATGATCGTATAACTCTACATGAATTGCATAATTCAAAGTACTGTGGAAGGTGCAAATTTGAGTTAGATAAGTTGACTAGAATAATGTATTTTATTTTTTACACCCAAGCTTGAATCCTCCTTCTCATAGGTCAGACATATTTAGTGTAATTATGTTATAGTTTATAAAAATAAAATTAAAAAGTATTGTAGAATGTGGAGGGAGCATCGAGTTTGCATGTATTGCAACAAGTATCTCTTAAAATAAACACTACAAAATAAGTGGCTTTCTCGGCAAAACTTACGCCGGCGAATTTAGAATTTGCCAGGAGAGGACATTCATCTCGGCGAAATTCTACATTTGACGTCCTAAATATACCGACAAACTTAAGTTACGGTGCCGAAACTACACCGATGAGATCCAACCTTAGCCAGCAAGTGATTCGCCGGCACAAATATATTTTATATTTTTCTTGTCAAATTGTCAACTCGGTGACATAATTTTAGATGGCAAATATTTATGCTTTCCTGGCGAATACTGTGTATTTACCGTCAAATATTAAATTCGTCGGGATAGAAATTAAAATTATACGCCCATACTAGTAGATCTATATTCTCTCTTGTTCCCGCTCTCTCTGCCTCTCGCTCACTCTCTATTGCTAATTTCCCTCTCCAGGTTTTAGATATTGAAATTGATCAATTACTCACTTGGCTCTCTCTCTCATCTCTCTCAGTCTATTGAGAACAACCAAATCCTTACTAGGCGCTTTTGTTAAAAAAAAAAAAAAAAAAAAATTGGTCTACCTTATGATTTTTATCAATTAACATTCCTTTCCAACATGCGAATCCCTCCTGGTATATGCATTCCTCTCATGGAGAGAATATACATACCTAACTCTTCGAAAATAAGGTAATTTCATTGTATAAATTTTATAGTCATAATCATTCAATTTTTTAATTTTCATTTGATAATCATTTTTAAAAAAGAAAAAAAAAATTTCAAATCGAGATCGTTCATGCGACCAAATGTGATAGAAGGCCATGTGGCATATCTTGATCAAAGACAAGTGTCTTAATCCTAAAGATTGAGTTGTAACAGAAAGTTGTTAATAATTGTTGAGCTATTGGTTATGTAGCTTCCTTTGTATTAGAACCAAAATCACATATGACAGATGCAATGTTCTTCTTCATAATTCCTCTTAGCAATATAGGGTTAAGGTCGATTTAGAACCTATCATGGTATCAAGTCTTGATCCCTAAATCCATTATGAGGAGATGAATGTTTCGTTAATGGCTCTGGTCTCTGTGGATGAGATTAAAAATGCTGCCATGAAAATGGGAGGACTTAAAGCTCCGGGCCTTGACGGATTTCAAGGGATCTTCTATCAGTCACAGTGGGATATAATTGCTACGGACGTTAATAACATGATTAAGGACTTGATGATTGGGTCTTTGTAGCCCTTGTGAATCAATGCTACTCACCTGGCTTTAATTCCAAAGGTTCAAAACCCGGAGTCAGTGTCTCAGTTTCGCCCCATAAGCCTTTGCAATTATTCCTACAAAATTCTCTCCAAGGTCTTGGCCAACCGGTTAAAGAGGTTACTGCCGGAGTTGATTTCTACAACCCAAAATGCGTTTGTGGAAGGAAGACAAATTCAAGATAACATTGGCATTGCGTCCGAGCTTTTTCATTTTCTGTAAAATAGAAAGACGAAGTGCAAGTTTGAGTTGGGAATCAAATTGGATATGCATAAGGCGTATGATCAGGTGGAGTGGGATTTTTTAATGGATGTAATGGAGAAGATGGGTTTTGATAGTCAATGGAGGAGTTTGATTATAGGCTGCATATCAACAGTGAATTTTGCTATTCTTCTGAACAGACAACCTGGTTCCAAATTTGCTCCTTCAAGAGGGCTTAGATAGTGTGATCCCTTCTCCCCTTATTTATTCCTGTTGATCAGTGAAGTGCTATCACTCCTTAATTAAGGTGGTGGCGCAAGCAATTCCGGTGTATCCCATGAATCTTTTCAAGTGTCCTACGACACTTTGCAATGATTTGGATGTAATGATTTCTAAGTTTTGGTGGGGACAAAAGGAAGGGGAGAACCATATTCATTGGGTCTCTAGGAAGCAATTCGGGTGCTCGAAAAAAGAATACGGGTTAGGTTTGAGGTGCTTTGCGGAGTTCAACGACGCTCTATTGGCAAAACAGTGTTGGAGGTTGTTAATGGAGCCAAATTCCTTGTGGGCGTTGGTCATTAAAGCTCGATATTTCCCCAACTGTTCTTTCTTTGATGCAAAGTGGGGTGGAAGAGCTTCTTGGGCATGGTCAAGCCTCCTTGTTGGTAGATAAATTCTTTGTGGAAGTGTACACTGGCAGATAATGAATGGTAATGAAGTTCGGGTTTGGGTGGATAGATGGTTGCCATCTATTCCCTTGGGACGTCCCTTTCCTTTGGGCACGGTGCCAATCTCATTAAACCTCAGGGTCAATTCTTTGTTATGCAATGAAAATGGGGGTTGGGATATTGATTTCCTCAAACCTTTTGTGGTGGAGGAGGAGCTTAATGCGATCTCTGAGACACATACGGGTGACTCGATGTTGAAGGACAGATTGGTGTGGCCTTTCGAGAAAAAGGGAATTTATTTGGTCAAGTTTGGATATCATTGGGCTATGGCCAGGACTCGGTAACAAAGAAATGGTAACCCTCATAGGTCTGCCATCATCCCAAAACATTTATGGAAGTGTGTGTGGAAGCTTAAGGTACATCCAAAAATAAGATGCTTTATGTGGAAGACCTTACAGAAGGTAGTGGCAACGAAGGCTAATTTGTTTAAGCACCGATATTCTCCTTCACCAATTTGCCCTCTCTGCAACTCGAAGGAAGAATCAATGGAACATTTCTTTCTTCAATGTCTGTGGGTGAAGGAGGTGTGGCACGAGGGAATTTTGACAAGAAGCTTACGCAGGGAAGATGTTACATCTTGGGCGAATTGGTTGGCTGTTATTTCTGATTCGGTAAATGGACAGACTTGTGCTAGGAGCAACTTGCTTTCGTATGTTGCTATCAATTGTTGGCACATATGGAAGGCAAGATGCAACTTCCTCTGCAATCAATAATCCATTTTTCCAAGGCAGGTTATTGCAGCTATTACCCATTCGGTGGCTGCCTTCAAGGAAACTAATCAGGCCCTGGTCATTAGCCTGCCGGTCTCTATCCCAGGTACCGTATCTGAGGTCTATTGGTCTCCACCTTGTATGGGATTCATTAAACTTAATGTGGATGCCAGTTGGTTAAGGAGCTGGGGTTCGGGTTTTGTGGGTGTGGTGGCTCAGGATGAAGTGGGCAGGTTTATGATAGCTGGCATATATAAGGTGACGGCTTCTATTGTGGCTGTGGTGGAAGCATTGACTATGCTGCATAGGTGTAAGCTAGGAAGAAATATGGGATGGAATTATGTCATCGTGGAATCGGACTCTCTGGAATCTATTTCTTGTCTTCAAGATTTGGCTACGATGGGCAGTTGAGAAGCGTTCCCAATTCTAGCGTGGAGCAAAGGATTGGGGGAGGCTTTTCATGACTACCACTAGTCTTAGGGTTCCAAGATCGGCCAATATGGCTGCGGATCTTTTGGCGTCGCGTCAAAGTAAGGAAGTAGGGGATAATATTTGGGTCAACATACCCCCATGCTCCCTTGTGCATGTTATGTATAATGATGGTCTTCCTTGTCCCTTTTAATCTTTTCTTGGTAGTATAAGGAGTGACACTTTAGCATTAGA